AGGGCCAATTAAGGAAGCAAAGAATAGTAACAATGTGACTGTAAACTCTGGCCAAAAGTTCTTATTGTTTGTCCACCTCTGGACTTTAACCTTGTTCCAGAACCTGAGTGCACATTCGTTTGACAGATCTTACTTATACTTGGTTCCTTGCCTCTCAGGCAGATGCACTTTGACTTTGAAGGAAGCTCCCAGTTAGTCGACTCTTAGGACATGCTTGTTGGGGAGGAGGTGGGTCTGTTCTTGTTTCCATCCCATTATAGGACCCCTGAACCCACGTGGGAATGATGCGAGATGAAAGGCAGTAAATAAAAAACTGGGGAGAAAACAATGAAATGTCTTGTTTGGACAAGGTGCTTGTGCAACATTTAGGAATGAGGATGGATCCACTGATCACCTCTAGTGATCCATTAGTGTATTGGACAACTTTCCAGTGAGAACATGGTGGTTACAGAAATGATACAGAATTGGACAGGATGTATTTTCAGGTGACTAATTAATAGCGATGCACAACAGGCATTATAGAATTTATACCTTCACCTGTGGATTCCAAGGCCACATTTTTGACGGAAAAAGAAAGACCCACAGTTTCCGTAACGTGTCGTAAAAGGCAACAAAATAGGCTTTCCTTCAAAATCCGAGTATGTCTACTTGAGAGGCATGGAACCAGTAGTCTGCAAACAAGCAAGCCACATCTGTGTATGGAAAACCCAAATTATGGAACAAGACTAAAATCCATAAGTGGACAAAACTAGAAATTTCCACCAGAGTTTACAGCTGATGAACATGAAACAAAATTAAGAGACATTAATTTTTCCTTGATGTTTTATGCTTTTGTATGCTTCACATGTCAGTTTTTATTTCCTGGTGTTCTTTGTTTTATTTTTTCAAACACTATCAGTACTGTCTGTTTACATTGAAGCATGTATAGTGTGTGGCTTGTGTGTCAGTGTGCTTCACAGCCTGTAAGGGACCACATGTTGATGATTTGTGCTGTATGTTTATACTTTTCTGATATGACAAATAGATTAAAAACATACATATTAATAACACAGTATGAATACAGACACTACTAACATGTGAATAGTTAATTTCTATCCACAAATGCTTGTAAAACACATGTATATTTACAAAATCTATTCCATGGGAAATCTGTTCCATCGGATGGAGGCAGTTGGGTATAAGGATCTAATCCCACATGTTTAGATCTAAAGATTCCTTGTGGGTGATAAGGTCACTGTCACTCTGGCCATCTTTAACTTTGCAATTTTCTGGCACCATCATCTAAAATTATGAAGCTGGATGGATGCACTTGGTCACCTAAAAATATTCCCTCAAAGAGAATTTACATCCAGATCTACTAAACCTGTGCGGAAAACCTCAGTAACTCACCTGCCGGCCCAAAGGTCTAGTCTTTGAATCTAAATTGTGGTGTATTGTTTTTCAAATTTGACCTTTGCTCATAGGTGGACACAGCTCAAAATGGACACCAGGTGATATGCCTAGAAGGTAGAGTTAACCTGGTGTGATATTGAGCCCATCACCCATCGAATGCTGGTTGGTTCATACATATATACGCTACCATTATGTGCCCAATTCCCTATGTGGGTTCTGGGGTCCCATTGTGTGGAAAACTAGAATAGACCTACTGCCTCCCCAACAAGCATGGCGTAGGAGGTGGCTTCTTCATCTTCTTTGTTCACAAGCTAGCTGTAAGCTCTGACGGAAAGTCCTGGTTGTTCATCCATTTGGATTTTGTGCCAGGGCCTGATTTTTTTCTCGTTTTACTGGCTTATTTGTGCACAGTTGATTTTTGTTGTTGCCGCGTGGACAGATGCACTCTGACTTTGAAGGAAGTCCCCAATTAGTGGACTCCTAGAACATGCTTGTTGGGGAGGCGGTGGGTCTATTCTTGTTTTCCTCACAACAGGGCCCCAAAGCCCACACGGGGGAGGAGTTGACTAACTGGGGGCTTTCTTCAAAATTGAAGTTAATCTGCCCCAGCGGCAAAGAACAACCAGCTGCACACAAATAAGCCAGTAAATTGGATATACACCCAAAACTAAGACCCTGAAACAAAGCCAAAGTCCAAATGGACGAACAACCAGTAATTTCCACTAGAGCTTACTGCTGGTGAATAAAGGAGAAGAAGAAAAAGATATGCCTAATGAGCCAGAGGTGTGAAATGGGTCCTTTAATTTTACTGAACCTGCAGCCTGGTATAAAAGCATACTAACTACCACACCACCACAGTATAATTAAAAATACATTTTCAATATTTGAATATGCAGTATGTAATTATATATTATCTAATTGCTAGTGCACAGCTTGAAGTCACTTAGAAATATGACACACACTTACTGACATACTAATAGTGTCGAAGATAGGAGTGACTCTAGTGGAATTAATATCAGCAAGTAAATTAACACAGTACCAAATATGACAAAAGGAAAGGACAATGAGAAGAAAGGAAAAGACATGCACAGAAATTGCAACCTTTTAGATAATTTATTGTGGATTATGAGACCTGTTTAAAAAAAAAAAATATACTGATAAAGACTAGTTGAACATTCAGTTGTATTTGTGCGTGTCTTTTTCTCCCACTTTGTTGAGGTTGCCAAACCTAGTTGGCACTATGTTAATTTACACATACTAGTATCTTTATATTTGTAAATAAAGTCAACAAGCAGACCAGTTTTGGCATTTAAGCCAGCTGAAAAGACAATTTATTTGTAAAAGTTTGTGAAACTTAACTCTTCATCAATATAAGTTTTATCAAATTATAAAAGAATTAAATGTGTTTTTCGGTGGTATGTGATTTAGTCTGCCTGATCATGCTGAGTCTATAATGCTGCATTTAAAGTGATTTTTGTGAATTCTGTATTCTCATAATTGAATGTAATTCAATGTTTGATTTTTATCTGTCATCCTTTTGAGCTTCCCGGACACATTTTAGCTTGTTATATTGTGATTTAGATCTTTCTTTCCTTCGCTAATGTTTCATTAAAATGATGTTGCAAGTTAAGCTCACCATAGTTTGTTTTATAGTTTTTTGGGCGCTGCTGTAGCACAGTGGCTATACACTTGACCGCTAACCCAAAGGTCTTGGGTTTGAATCTGCATGGAGGCAGATTTTGTATCGTTGACCTTAGGGCAGTAAAGATGACTGGCACTGATTTAGTGCCATTTGGTATATTAAAATATAGGTTTTAGCACTACATCCATCCATGGAATCTAACAGATTGCACAGGATAAAAAAGAAAAGAGAAATAGACCATTGTGTGATGAATAAATGGCACATGATGATGATGATGATGAAGAATGAATTTCCTCCCGCTGTGGCTTCTGGTGTTCCATATGGGGTGGGGATAAATCCAGTGCCTCCTAACAAGCATGTTTTACAAGTCGACTAATTAGGGATTTTGCCTTTGAAGTCGGAGTGCATCTGACTGACTGAGTGGCAAGGAACAAAAGGTGTGACTACATGTAAGCCAGATCTGTAAAATGGATGTGTACACGAACACAAAGCTCAAGTTCTGGAACAACACTAAAGACCAGAAGTGGATGAACAACCAGAGTTTTTCACCATAGTTTACAGCTGGTGAATGTAAAGAAGAAGAAGAAGATTAATTGTGTTCTAGAACAGGTTTTAGAAAAAGATTTGATATTTCATCTGTAGTATGAGCCTTGTGACACTCTGGTGGACAGCAGATGGAAAAAGGAGATATGGACGACCTAAGGAAACCTGGAGAAGGACAATCGAACAGGAAATGAAGGAATGTAAACTGACATGGGATACCATGGGCACAAAAAGCGGCAGACCAGAATCAATGGAGATCACTTGTCTTTTTTCTTCTTCTTCGCGTTCACCAGCTGTAGACTGGCGGAAAGTTCTGGTTGTTCGTCCACTTCTGGACTGCAGTCCTGTTCCAGAACCTGAGTGTTGTGTGTGCATCCGTTTTACAGATCTGACTCATTTGTATACAGGCTGCTGGTTCCTTGCCTCAGACAGATGCACTCTGACTTTGAAGGACGCTCCCTATTAGTCAACTCTTACAACATGCTTTTGGGTAGGCAGTAGGTCTATTGTTTTTTTTCCCTATAATAGGGCCCTGGAACACACACAGGGTAAATCACTTGGGAATGCCTTATGTGTCAACATCGACATGAAGAGGATATATATGAGCCATGGCACTGCTTTCAAATGTTACCCGTTTCATAAAACTGTCTTTGCTGCTTGTATTTATCATTTGATGAGACTGGTTTAAATTGTTAGGTTTCTGATGGTCATCATCATTATTAGGTGCCTTGCCAACTGACTTGGGCGATTATGCCTCTCCACAACTTGTGGTCATGTGCTGGCACCCCTTCATGCCCTGAAAAAAACCTATCAAGAATTTTCTCATTTTCATTTATCTCTGCTTTCACAGATCCTTCCACTGGTCAGAACTTGTTCTAAATTCTTTCTCATAACACACCAAAAAAAAAAAAAATGAGACTGTTCTGATGTTTGCGATAAGTTATCTTCAGTCCCTCCCTTCTTTCAAAATGTCTGTATTGCTCTTTTAGGTTCCGATAAGCTATTAAAACTTTTTTCTTGTGGTCCCTGCAGAGAGGTGATGGTCCACAGCCATCTGTCTCATGTGTCTCAATCGTTTCTGATAGAATAGTTCTTCTATTCCACAATGCTGACTATTCAAGAACCTCTCTCTTGGTCTCCCTTTAGCTCTTTTTCACGTTAACTTCCTGTTTTCATGATATATTTCGGTTGTCTTTATTCTTATGGCATAACATTTTACATTTACATTATTTTTGACATTACAGATGTAAGTTTTTTTTAATGGGTACACAGCAAAATATGTAATGTTTTCCCCCCTCACCAAGCACTAGAAATAAGCAAGTAATATTTGATTCATAACTAATCTTAAACAAAAGCCTTACAATTATTTATAATAATTTGAAAAATAAAATAGATATAAAATGTCATTGCTTTTGTTTTATAGGCCCCAGAGGGAGAGAACCAGCCCAGCACTGATGTGGATCTGTTTGTCTCAACAGAGAAGATTATGGTGCTGAACACAGACTTGCAGGTAACTCATCTTCTTGGATTTCCTCACATCAGCTTGGGAACACATCAGGCCATAGAAATATCATTATCATCATGCAGCAGGTCCTTTGCACAACATCGTTCTCCCCTCAGTCTGCCTGTAAGAAACTTGGTCTCTCGCCAAACATCTTGCCTCATGTACTTTCCTACCCAAAGTGTCACATATATCCTGTGCCCATGTTCATGCTGGTCGGCCCCTGCCCCTCGTTTTCTGCGATACCACTACTACTATTATTATTCCAGTCCGCCTTATAAATATAAGATAAATGAATTGACATATATCAGTTGGCGCTCACAGAGACAAAGAAGACACACTAGACAAAAAAAATTAAAAAGTATAGTTACTATATTGGGAGGTTGAAGTAATCTTGGGTAGAAGATCTAGAAACAACCTTATATCTCCCTCGACACCCACAGCGGTAAAAGAGGAAGTGAAGAAGAAGAAGAAGTAATCTTGTTCCAGCAGCAAGGCGCTGTCATTATTTGGAGGTGAAGGTCTGTTTCTGATCCGGCAACTCTCAATTTTGACCACATCACCTTAATTATTAAATGTTGGTTGGCCTATAAAAATATGTCTAACATATATCTGATGTCCCTGTGTGGATACTAGGGCAGCAATTTGAGGGGGAAAAAAGAAGAATAGATCCACTGTTCCTTACAAGCATGTAATATTTAGCTCTCATTAATATCTTAAAAGAAGAGATTTATTTTCTTATAAATAAATATAATAAAATGTTATTGCTCCTATGATAATGTTATTATTTAACCATCCAATCCAGGAGATCATGATGGATCATTCATTGAGAACAATTTCTTACATTGCTGACATTGGAGACATACTGGTAATCATGGCAAGACGTAGACTGATCACCAGCCCTGACGACATGTTGGGCAGACGCAGGCGACAAGCCAAGATTCTCTGTCATGTGTTTGAGTCAGATGAGGTAAGTTTTCTGTGTCTTGTTGTACCATGTGAAGGGTAGATCCATGTTTGATCTTATTGTTCTCTCTGTGTGGGTTTTAGGGATTCCATTTTGGAAGAAAAAAAGAATAGATCCCTGTTCATTAACAAACATGACTTAAGAGAAGACTAATTAGGGGTTTGTGGAAAATGAATGTATTGGGTTGAAAGGCACAGAATATGTAGCTGTAAACCACAAAACAACATGCCAACTACCGTTTTAATAGCAGATACCCAAGAGAAAGAGCGAAATCTTGTTTGACTAGTTCCTAGACTGTGACAAAAAAAGTTTCACACTTTGTAAAAAGGACATGAGGCTGCCAAGAGTATTCAACTCAAAAGCACCATCTGGCATCAGCACCACCTGATATCTCTGTTACCTTTCATGAAAAAAACCATGTACTACATTGATAAAGCGGCTGGAAGTATATATTTTCTATTTTCATCATTATCATAGTCCCATAACACAGAGTGTTGTTGGGTCACCATTTGCTGTTGACCTTTTGATCTGGAACAGTCAGTTGCACTAAACTTGCTGATGACATACTTGAGACCCATCCAGTCAGCCAGAGTTTGGATCCAGGCGTTTCCCCACCTGCCTCTTCTCCTGTACTGAGCCCTATAGTATCATTTTAAATAGGCCATTATATGTTATCACGTGTTAGCACAACTTCATTTTCCATCTGTTAACTCTTAACAGAAATTCATGGTTGCCGATTTGTTGAGGGATGATATGGTGAACTTCGTCATTTGTGATGTGGTCTCTGTATGATATGCCAAGTATGTTTAATAAGCAAAAATATCATTTCTAATGCTTGCATGTTTTACAGCTGTTAAATAAAAGTACTAATAGCTAGTGCTCTAAGCATTCTTTTTATAGCTTTACTTGGGATATTTTTGAATCTTCATTGCTGCCTAGTGTGGGCTGCTGTTGTTTGGGCAGCTCTTGACATGATTTCTGGTTTGAACCCTAGGTCTTTTAAAATGGATCCTAGATATTTAATCTCACCCCCCTCTTCCCCCTCCCACAGTGGGGTCCCTGGAACCCAGATGGGGAATATTGTTTACAAATTGTGTGCAGTGAAGTATGTTTTTTGACAAGAAATGAGAGATTGAAAGTCACTTCCACCAATACGGTATTGTAAGTTGTGACATGATATGTTGAGTGAATTATCTGTAGTCAATATTTGGATTGAAGGTGGGAGTGTGAACTTCATTATACCAGGTTTTGTGTGACTGGAGACCTGCTGAGAGCACTGGAACTCTGTAGTAGCTCTCACAGCGACCTCAGTGGATCTCTGAAACACTTGCACTCATGAACTGAACATGCGACCTTTAGACAAAGATTTTTTTTTTGGGTGGAAATAAAACTATAAAATCTCTTGAATATATATCATGTGTTATCATGGACATCACTATTTTTCATTGGTGCTTCATTCACCCTCGGCATCTGTTCAAGTTCAATATGCCTGGTGCGATTTTGTCTGCAGGCAATTGTGCAGCTGACCACTTTGTATTGATTTCAACAGTGGTATTAGCTGCCGACAATTTCGAACGCAGTGGCAAACTACTGCCTAGCAAAATCATGGACAGCCCTAAAAATGATGGGTTGGTTCTGCAACATCATGTAAAGTATATACAGTTAACTTTAAGTCCATTGTCTTCTTGGTCTACCTCGTGGTCTAGGACCATTCAACTCCCTTGTGTCTACAGTTTTTACATCTCTTCATCTAACATGAGAACTTTACTTACCATTACTTAATGTAGAAATTATAAGCTGTTTTAAGTTGTTACATGTTAGTTTTGTGCTACATAGCTGTAAGGGCAGAACCTTAGATAGGCCTACGTGCCTGATTCCTAACCCACGAGGTAGAGGAAACATGAGGGGGGGGGGGGGGGATGGTGTCTGTAAGGATGTTATTAATTTTATTGCGTGGAGGGAAAGCGGGGCGGGGAAGGAAGGGGGGGGGGGGGGGCTAAATTGGCCTCATTCCTCAGTTCCGGGACCTCTGCAGTCGACCCTCAGGCCTGGTTAAGTAAAATTAATGAAGGTCTGTGCTTGAGTCGGTTAACAAATAACAGCATATGGGGAGGGAGGGGGGGGGGTATGATCAAGTAACAAATAACATTTGAGGCAAAGAAGTTAAATTAACGGCTAGAACAGGGTGGTAACATATAGAATGTCCAAAACAGAAAGAACTGTTGATTGCAGTGTTCATTTGAGAAATAATTTTATAGACATAAATGAAAAAAGAAGTAAATATAACACAGGGTGAACCTCTTTAGTTTTTGTTCATCGTCTAATTTAGACAGGAATACTTGACATCGGCTCCAAGGTCGACCCAGCCTAAAATGGGTACCCGGAGATGGCATGGGTAGTTAAGACGACTAGCGTGGTGTTGACTACATAACCCATCGAGTGTTGATTAGTCTATACAGATATGAACATCAGATACCGACGCACCATTGACATAACAAAGAATTTTACTTCTTCAGCATTCCTAGCCCTTGAGTTGAGTTTCATTGTTGCAGATATCACCCGCCTCCGCTCATCTCTCTTGTTCGCCTTATCTTTCCAGTTGTTGACATCAAGTGTTTACAGGTCTGTCTAGATGTTACCTCTCCCTTGTCCTCATGGTCTGCTTTATGGTCTGTGGCCATTCAACTTCCTTGTGTAGTATACCTTTTTTTAATAACCTCTCTGTCATCTAACGTCGGCTTTGTGGCTAAGTCGGTGCGAACCATTCGTAATGCCGGGGTGCCAGGTTCGATCCCAGCTGCGGGCTATGCGCTTTGCGTTGGTTTCGACAGTGGTATCAGGGGCCGACCTTCCAGAAAACGATGGCAAACAACTGGACTTAAATTTGCCTAGAGAAACCACACAACAGCCAGGGGCTGCTGGGGTTGGTTCTGCAACGTCCTGTAAAGGATACGCAACTAACCTGTCATCTAACGATAACTTTACCTAATGTAGTCATAAGACGCTGTTTCAAGTTGTTACACGTTATTTTGGCGCAACACATCTGTAAGATGGGTCGTCACGCAATCCTGCCTTTTCACTCTGTCTGCATTCCTAGTTTTCCAATATCGGAGCTCTATCCGCAAGCTAACACATTTGATTAGACGAATTTATGCCGCCTCTTCGGCGTATTTGATTTATTGAAGGAAAACTTACGCGCTCTAGTTGCGCAGCCAAGAGCGGTAATGTCATTTCGGAAATCAATGATTTCCTAGCAAAGCTTGGGAGTTTACTTATTCTGTTTAGTCTTCTAGACTTCCGCGTTGTTGTCAGTTCTAGGTAATCATATCAGTAGGTATTGATCTGCACTCATAGACAAGAAGGAATAAGCCAAGAAAAAAAGTAGTAAATTGACAAGGAGAAAGAATATAAGTTATGGGCAAATTCTGGCACCTTTTGTACATCCTCTCATTTGTTTAAAGCTCATCCAGACGAATATTTACTTACATTTGTGGGTAGAAGCTGGTTGGAAATTCAGACAACATTCCATAAGTACTTCAGCTTCCTACCTCAGTCAGTCATACAAGAAGATTCGCAACATAAGGAAGTGACACTTTAGCACCCAGGAGAATACAGCTCTTGATAAAATAACCTTACAGACCTGACATTTATTTGTGTCTCGGATAGTTGTTTTAGTAATTTAAATTTTGCAATTCTGCCTCGTTACCGACTTCAGGATTTCCAACTGTTGAGGGTTTTGAACATGTCTGGATCCTAAGCAAATTTCGGTTCGTTCTGATTCTTGAAAGCAAAACATCCTATCCACGTTTTATCTACCCCGAGAAAGTAAATTTTTATGAGTTACATGTGTGGGGGTTAGGAGGGTGGCGGAAAAGGGGGGGGGGGGGGAGAACCACTACAAGCAAAGATCATTTGCGTTACAGTCCCATCGTGTATTCTCCCGTAACTCATCTGAAACCTGGGGATTTGACTTTGGCCGCTGTTGCCAAATTGTGATCAGTGCGGAACTGAACTGCAGTATCGTCTTGGAATTGTCTATTAGCTGACTGCTGTGTGCTTGACAAAGGAAAACCACATGGCAGTTTAGTGTATCACGTTTATTGTAAAAGTAGAAGTGAAGAAGATGTTCATGCTTTTAACAACATGTTCACTAAATGTGTGGTCTTAAGGTGCCTAACGCCTGTCTCTGTTGGTAAATAGGAATTATCTTTATTGTATTTACTTGCCATTTTTCATTGCAGTCTTTATGGTCTAGCAGTTTTATTAATTTTGTTTATATTTAGTCTCCCCGCCTACAATACACCACATCCAAGCTATTTCATCGATTCTTTGGTGGAGTAATTATCGGGTGACTCGTTGTTACGGGTTGTTACGGAGTTGGTTCACGACCTACCACCAACGACTTTCTCCACAGGGCTGCAGACTGCCATTTTATTCTTCGTCTACTGTCACCAGAGACGGGTTTACTGTGACCTCAGGGGTTCTGAGCTCTAAGGATTCGCCTCAGAATTCACCAAATTATGTGGTTGTTTTATTTGTACCAGCTGTGTCTTTATGTGTGCGTCCATCTGTCTGCTTGTCTTGTTGCTTGCTTGTATATGCATGCTTGTTTGTATGTGCGTGTGTCACACAGACACACAGCCAAAGAGTAAGAGAGAGAGAGAGAGAGAGAGAGAGAGAGAGAGAGAGAGAGAGAGAGAGAGAGAGAGAGAGAGAGAGAGAGAGAGAGAGAGAGAGAGGGAGATATGTGTTGGGTCGAAACCGCAAATATCACAGTCTATCTGTAAACCACAACACAAACGTGCCAACCGCACTTTTAAGGACGAATTCAGAAAAAGACCCCTCAAGTATTCAGTGTCCCCCGCTACATTCCTTTCTCATGGCGGCACGACTGCTTAGTTCGATCTCTGACGTTTATTAGGGCAAGAAACTGATGGCCGATTGTACTTAGCCGCATTCTCAGGAGTGTTTGCTGCAGATTATTCTTAGGACTAAATGGCGGC